AGCCAAACTGCAAAGGAGAACAAAATAGTAAGAGAAAAACTAGTGAAATCATTTCTCTGCTCATTCCCAGACTTGCCAATTCCCCTATTTTCATCAAAATGAGGATATGGAAGCATTGACTCTTCAATTTCATGCCCGGCAGTGCCGTGTTTGTTCTTCTCATGTACTTTTCCCAACTCTATAAGACCTTGAATTTTCTCTTTTTTCCTTTTTTTTTTTTTTTTTTTTGAATTGACATCTAAGAAATGAGATATTTTGGACACCAATTTTCTTAACCTAAGTGAACAGTTTCTGTCACGGAAATTTCCACCATGAAGTAGATAATTGCTTATCAAATCCTTCGACATCTGTTCTTTGATGAAAGGTGGGGCATTAGAAGAAAACTTCAACTGAAGTTCAGTTAGGACAAAAAAATGGGAAAAGAAAAGGAAGCAACCTTGTCATAGCATGTTGACTGCAACTTCACCAAGAAAAACTAACCCAAAGTCAGCTAGAAACTTACAGAGACACAATATCAAACACCTGGTGGGCAAACCATTACCCAAGTCAACACAAAGAAAAGCACAAAGCTATATTTCAATTGCAACAGAAAATTGCATGTGGTACACACAATTCAAGGAGAAAAATTTAAGCTTACAATTGAAATTGATGGATTCCTTCATTTCTTCAGCAGTCGAGAGAAATTCGGCAGCAAAATTATTCTGTGTTATTAGCAAAATATCCTCAACAGAATCACTCAAAATTATTATTCTTCTCCAAATGGGAAAAACCCTTTTCACAATTTGTGGGTTTCTTCTTCTAGTCGCGTTACAATTTTCTTTGTTATTTTCATCCCTATTTTCCGACTTCTGACTCTCTCTACGTTCCTATGTCCTTGTTTCCCCTTGTCAGGATTCCAAAAGGATGAAAGCATTCTTCTCAATGGTTCTCTGGCTTAGGTATGCTCTTCAACCAATTTGGTTAAGAAAGTGTGGTGTTTTTCTGGAACTACTCGGAAATTTCACTAGATAAAAGCCAGTTCTGGCCGTAGAATCAGTAATTTATATCTTAGTTATCCAAAACTTGAGGAATTTGGCATTACCCTTAGAAAGAAAAAAAAAAAAAAAAAAAAAAAGGGAAAAGAGGATGAATAAAAGGAAATTCTACTTTTATCTCTTTTAACTTAATAAATTTATAGGTTTTAATTCATCATTTTATATTATAACACTTTTAATCTATCACATATAGGAATT